GAGACGCCGGTTTATTTTGATATGGCAGGTGCCATGACCGTGAACACCAAAGGTGCAAAGACCGTTCATGTTAGAACAACTGGGAATGAGAAGAACCGATTTACGGTAGTCTTGACATGCCTTGCTAACGGTAGAAAGCTACCACCAGTCATTATTTTTAAGGGAAAAATTTGGCCAACTAACACGCCACGACCTCCAGCCGGTGTAATAGTTTGGTTCCAAGAGAAGAGATGGATAGACGAACAGGGAATGAATCAATGGATAAAGTATTGGAATAATTCTCGACCAGGACCACATAATTCGAAAGCATTGCTAGTCTTTGATTCTTTTTCAGCTCATATTACGGATCAGATAAAGGCAGCATTACGTTCAGGAAATACAGATTTGGCTGTTATTCCCGGGGGTCTTACTAGTATGTGCCAGCCTCTTGACGTTTGTATCAACAAACCTTTCAAAGATAAGCTTCGTAAGTATTGGCATAGATGGATGACAAATGGTAGCAATGGTATAACTAAGAATGGAAACTTGAAGCGTGCCGATCTAAACACAGTATGTCATTGGGTTTTGAATGCTTGGGATGATATTTCTGAAGACATTATTATCCGGGCATTCAAAAAATGTGGTATCTCCAATTGCTTGTCGGGGAGTGAGGATCATTTGATTTACAATGATAACGATGAATCTAATGATGAGGAGGAATCTGATGAAGATGAAGAGGAGGAATCTGATGAAGAACCTGATGAAGAATCTGAAGAAGAACCTGGTGAAGAACCCAATGAAGAAGATAAAGAGTCTGACGAAGACTATGAAACTGGTGATGAAAATGAATCCGGTAATAAGATGGACAATCATAAGTGGCCAGAGTGCTGGGTCGTTGTTTGAAAGGCTTGATTTCGCGTATTATACAGAGTAAGAATTATTATCTGAAAAAGCATAATTTCGCATATTTTTTTAGAGTAAGAATTAAATTTTATTAATCGGTTTATATTTCTTGGCTAAATATGTAGGCGCAATATTACCACTTATTAGTTAGCTTTTTAGTTAGCTTTTCATTATATATAATAGTTATTGTAATGATAATAAAACGTAATAAAATTTGGGTTTCTGGTTATTTTTGGTGGCATGTGTCTCTTTGTCAAGTTTTAATCCACATAAAAGGTTGTTTATATTTAAATTAATTTTTTTATTAATCAATTTTTTTATTTTTTTTATTTATTTGCTATATGCTATTATTTATTAATTTTACCAGATATTGGGCCAGATATACGAAAAACCGATGGGCGATAACAACTATCGAAGATATTTTAGGCGCATTTAAATATTTTAAGTCCGTGTATTTTCATAATGAATTAGCAGAATTAACAATAATTGTACATTAAAGTATTTCTATTAACCGGTTTGAAATCATTATTAAAATAATACATTATATGCACAAAAACTAATCTATAAATACTGTAATTTATTTGAATTTTTACACTCATGTTTATTAGTTAATAGAATTTGGTGCCAACATGTTGTCAATTTATTATGGCGTGCTCCTTTTTCCTTACCCAACCGGTTAGATGAATATAGATCTATATCTATAATAACTACCTATATTTCTTGTATGGATGATACCGAAAAATCTTTACTTGAAGGGAGTGCGAATGAGTGATTTGATAGAAAATCAAGATGCATAATTTATTTTTTAAATGTATGTTCATCGCTTACGTCACTTGGTACTAAACTGGTCGTTCACAACCCATTTATACATAAACTATCTAATAATTAGAAGCAGATAAACGGTTTTATGCTTATATGTGTATACATTCATTTGTTTATCACGTTTTGCAACAGGAGCGAACGCAGTTTACTTATTAGCGCGAGTAATAAACCAAGAGGAAATCAAATTTTGTAAATAAACTAAGTGCGTAAAAATAGAAGTTTATGGTTAGGGCATTAACATTAGAGGCTATAACAATAAATTGCTCGTTATATGTAAATTTCATTTCCGAAAATTTTAATTAGTATACCAAGGTCGATTTAAACCCTAGTTTTTGAGTATTTTCACGTTTTTCTTCTTTCGCACGTGTTCAGAATTGATCCAGAACAGTCAAATTTTGTGCACTCCAATTGGTTAGATTTCAATAAATATATAATTGGTATTTTGAGGAAAAAAGTTCCTCAAAAAAAAAAATAAAAAAATGCGGTACTTTTAGTATGTGAAATCTAAATTTTATTGCATGATCAATATGTTGCTCAAATTTAGAAAGAAGAGGTAGCTTATTTTCGGAATAAAAATTTTTATTATTGTTTTTAGTTTGAAGAAGCGAAGTAGCTTATTTTCGGGTATAAG